ACCCATTACTTCAGCCTTGACCTCTTTTTTTAAATACACAGGGACATTTTAAGGGATGATGACAATAAGTATGTTTCAAACAATTCTTACAATCTCATTCGCACACTAAAATTGTTTATGAAATTGTCCCTCCAGTATGGATGTTAAAAATTCCATTTTTATTGATATTCTAATATAAGAAACGAGAGCAAAAACTATCTATTTTAACTGCAGTCTACAATTTGACCAATTGGCGGCTGCAGAGATCTGAAGACAGAAATCACATGCAGGTATTGCTTCAAATATAAACCTATCCTTACTCTGGTTGTCTCTCAGGGACTTAAATTATGTTTTCCTTGAGTTTAAAAATGGTCTATGTTAGTTTTTGAGACTGTAAATGTGAATAAGCTACGTTTTAGTTGTATTTTCCTCCAAATAATTCTAGTTTTATACTATAACCTCACCCCATCAATGGAATAATGGCAATCTACTTCAAATAAAGACCAAAGTGTTTAAATAGTGTCCCTATGGATTACAATCAAATGCTGCAGCAGCCAAAGACATCATGTGTTTATCTATATTGGGTCTAATTTAATTAAAGTAAGTAATGTTCACTGAAGGGCTATATTTAGTTACTGCCTATAGTTAATATTATTGAGCTGTGATATTTACAAATATATAATGAATGAGTTTTTTTTTATTATTGAGGTATGTTTGTTGTCATTTTATCTGTAAAATTACTTTGCACTGTATTTTTGTGCACTGGATTTATGTGTGTTATAGTTTTGTTCTGCAAATGAAAAAATATACTCAGAACTTTGGTTTGAATGGATTTCCAGTTACTGTCCACAAGGGGTCGTCTTATTTCCACGATTTAGATTTGAATGAGAAAGTGCAAAGCAGAGACTACCAGCCTAAAGTATAGGCAATTCATTATCTAACGAATCTCTTTGACAAGACACAGGTTCAGTGGTTCACCGTAAAGACATTTAACAAAAACATCATGACAAACTGTGCACGATTTATTGGTGGAGGTCTCCAAGTTCGAGAGAGCTGCTGTGGAATTAGTCCTTTAAAAAATGTATGTGGATAAATATCAGCATGAAGAACCAAATGATCAGTATTCTGATGTTTGCCGAATGCCTCTAATAGAACAAAAACAACAATACAATGCAGGAAAAATACAACAAATATGTTTATTTGACATTTGTAGTGAATCTTTTTAAAATAAAAATGGTTTGATTTGTACGTTTAACCTGCTTTTTGTCTTCAAAGGGAATTCGTGTTTATCATCTCTCCTCTCCCCTAAAAATGGGACTCTGTTGTCACCGTTTTCATTTAATCTGAGGACACATAAAACACCATCCACTGTGTGGCTATCAAGCTTTCATGTGTCCATTTATTTAGTGGCACTCACCTCAGTTCCATCTTCTGAACACACACACACACTCCCTCCTTATCATGTCAGGCTGCTCAGCACGCAGCCCTGGAACGAGAGGAACAAGAATGGACAACTTAAAAGCCTGGAGACCTTTATGTCTTCAAATGAAATACATTGGGCACAAAGAGGCTCGTTTCCACAGCTGGATGTCTCACAGTCCCCCTGCCAGACTGTTTCCTTACGGAGCATTTCAGCGACCAGCAGAGAGGAGCCTCCTCCGTGTCTCCTCCCCAAAGGATAGAGGCTCTCACTGGGGTCATGTCTGGTCTGCTCCCCTGAGACCAGGCTGGCCCGGTCTGTAGGGCATGTCTGTGTCCCTCACACACACACACACAAGGCACACAAATCCTGGTTTCTATAGCAACCACAGTTATGGCTGCCTGACTTGGCCCGCTGCAGTCCTCAGACTGAGGGGGCCTGAGGCCACATAATTAATGTGATTATATAGATATGTCAATCTTGTCACCTCTCAGTACATCAGGCAGCAGAGGCTCACACACGCACGCACACACGCACACGCACGCACGCACGCACGCACGCACGCACGCGCACACACACACACACACACACACACACACACACACACACACACACACACACACACACACACACACACACACACACAGGCACTGCTGTGCAAGCATCCTTTCAGTATGACTCGCTCAAACTAGTCGTTAACCTTAAAAATAAATAAGAAAAATATTTCCTTTAATTTTTTGGATGTTAAGGAAAAGTAAATACCAATGATGCAGAAGATCCCAATGCTAATCTCAAACTGTACTCCTCAACGGGGGTTTAATGTAAGGAAGTACATGAGAAAAGAATTTACTCAAGTTTACTATCTGTTGGTAGTACTTCATTGAGCATATACTTTATACTTTTACTCTAGTACATTTTGTAAGCAAATATTGAACTTTTTACTCAACCACATTTTTCTGACACCTTCAATAAATTGCTTTTCAGCATCAGATTATTTGCTAAAACAAAATATATCAACTAATAAATAAAAACTGAAACCTATGTATAGGTCAAGATATCTAGCAGCAGTAAAGTAATTAAAATTAGCTTCCCTTTACAAGCTGTGATACTCATTAGTTAACACAAAATCGAAATTCAGTTATTTAAAATATATGATTCTGAAAAGGGCCATTATGCTTAACGAGTACTTTCACTTTTGGTACTTTAGTTATATTGTGATGCCAAGGCTTCTGTTCTTTTACTTAAGTAAAACTTTGTATGCAGGACTTTCACTTGTCAATTTCACATAATATTTGTACAATGAGTATTGCTACTTATATGCAAGTAACAAATCCAAGTACTTCTATTCTACCACCACTGCTCCTTAATCATGATATCTAACAGTAACGGACATTTTGTACCCTGGAAATGTTCTTTTATGCAAGTACAATTGATGGCACAACATCAATGCTAAAACTTAAACAGCCATGCTAATAGATAAAGGGTGTCGGATACTCGTACCCTCCCAAATATCTTGACTTGTCTTGTGTTTGTTATATATATCATCCAGTTAAGCAGTCAGTCCTGAAGACAGTGAAGTGGCCGTCCCTCTGAAGTGGAGAACCTTTGTGGCTTCAGATTGGACGTGGAAGTCAAATGATATCACTAATAAATCACGTCAGCTTTCAGACAAAGAGCCTCTCCAGCCTCGCTCCAAAGAAAGGTCACATTCCTCCACTGATGTTTCACGACTGCCATGTAAATCTGAATGTTTTGATAATGTCATGAAGCTTATAAATCTAGTTTGAATGTTGGGATGGAGAATGGAGAGGATTAGGAAGATTGCCAGAAAAGTACTGGTTCTTGTGGCCAAGTTGAGCATCCAAGAGCAATATTTCTTCCCAGACGGTTGAGGGGCATCAGGTTCATAGTAATTATCAGTGATTAAAGAATGATCTTCTCAGGAGGGTGGGGGTCAGAGGTCAGGACCCTTCTCAGCGGCGAGACACTCCATTGACATGCACGATGGCTTTTGTCAATTGCAGCACCGACTTCTAAGAAGGAAATGTTTTATCCGCAGCATCTCCCACGCTCCTCGAGGGAAGGCAGAATTAAGTGGGAATATCAAACTGACATGTGACTGAAAATAATAAATGATTTTTATTGAGCCATACTAACAAAACAGCCAACAGTTTGCACACCATGCATTCAGAACATCTGAAAAAAGCAACATTTCCATATGAAGTTCACAGTATATTGATTTCAGAGCATTCCATTCAAATATACTAACTAGAAAAAACACACAATAAAAATGAGAAATTGCCACAAACAGAATACATGAGTGAACAGATGTAATGTTATATTATAATAATGCAATGTATTATAAATAAATAAATAAAAGCCACTGATGCAAAACTGGTTTAAAGTAAGCTACATTACATGGATTGGCAATACAAAAGAACAATAAACCTCAAATGAATGCATCTAATTAAGACACTGCAACTAAAATGTTGCCATTGTGTAGTGGTTTGAAATGAATGGGAAAAACAGAAATGAGTTGCGACTGTTAATTTATTCTAAATATCTAAATACTTAAGATCAAGGAGACAGGAGATTTTTAAATTGATTTAAAATCCCTAAACTCCCAGGCACTTAGGAATACTGAAGAAACTTTTTAGATAAAAGCAACAGCTCTTCAGTTTTTTGGCCGATTCACAGCCACAACCACAGTTTGGATTTACGTTTAGCTGCGTTTCATTTAACAGGATGGATCAGAAGCTTTACTAAGTATTTGCAATCAAGCCGTTACAGCAGAGAAGAGATTCAAAAAAACAAACATTTAGCACTCTTAAATCGGTTCCTTTGGGGGACAAATAGTCCCTCACAAAAATAAAGTCTCATTTACACAGGGATTAAGTACTATGACTTGCCCTGGTACCAATTAAAACATATTAAATGCAGCATTCAGTGTTCTTTGAAGAACAATTCAGGTAACACTGGCATAGAAACATCTGAAAACTTGCAGAAAAATGTTTCGTTTGAATATGATAGAAGATTATCGGGCAGGGGTCTGTATCATAAATCAAGATTAGTGTTTTGCAGTATAAGGAACAAAAGCAACACTTCACTTTTCTATACAGCTGTTGAAAAAGCCAGAAATGTTTTAAAAAGCCTAATTCTTACACTTATTCATAGCCATGTTTAAAAGAAAAAGTATCTTCCTAACTTCTACTTGTGCGATTTTACTGAATATTTCCCTTTTCAACCTTTTTGAAAATATCTTCAATAAGATGGCTTCTGTTGCAATGCAGTAACTAATGAGTATCCATATAAATAAACAAACTAACACTTCTAATTTCCCTGTGGGTGTCTCTGTGTCATTAAGTAATTCTCTCATGGTTCTTTTTGATGTTTCATGTAATTAAAAACTCTTTCACATGAACGCATCTGCAGCTGGATCAATAAACACAGAGCTACCGGAGCCACAAGCTTTATGATTCTGGTTATTAATGATTGTTGATGGTAGACTCAGTGAAGCTAGGTAACCCAGGGACAGCCAGACTAAGCTTAACTTGCTTTGTGATGCAGACCCCCAGTGCTCTCTGTACATTTGTGTTATAATACCAGTACCCTGCTGGTGACAAAAAGCCATAAGGGCAACCAGGTAGCCACTTTGGCAACAGACAGTGTTCATCACCCTTCTCCTCAATCAAACTTCGGTTACAGCCACAAACAAGGTGCTTTCTATCTGTGGTTGTGTGTCTTAAACTAATGTCCCCATAGCTTTTGGTATGCCGTTGCACAGGATACCTGCAGACAGGGCTGTGACTGCAGAGCTATGGCACTCCGTCTCCCTCAGTTAGTTCTGCATCAGGTACTGGTGGAAGTAGATGCCGAACAGAGAGCTGATGACCTGGCAGGCCGCCACCCACCACGTCAGGAAGGCGAAGAAACCTCGGAAGAAAAGTGGAGTGAGGACGGAGCGCAGCGCCATGAAGGCCTCTGTCAGGTGGGCAACTGTGGCCTGGACGTCCTCCTCCATGTCGTCCATCCCCTCTTCATCTTCATCGAAACCACCGGGCAGCACGGGCGCTGCTATGGGCATTATGAGCGCTGGCGTCACCCCGGGGGTCTGATCTGCATCGGCCTTCCACGAGAAGTCCCCTACAAGACCGGTAGAGATCAGTAAATACCGACGGTGGATGTTTTTCATATTTAAACTCCACTGATGTCTCAATATTATTATATAAATAGTTCTTCATGTTGGGAAATATGCTTTACCACTCTCATATCTGTTCTAAAAATAGATGACCACAGCCAGCAGCTAGTTAGATATTCAGGTTATTAACAACTGCTCTTGCTCAGTGAGTAGGTTACAAAATATACAAGCATTTCAGAAACTCACTAATTAACTTGCTAAATCTTGTTTAATCTTTCTAAAACTAGCGTGTAAATACAGGGGGGTTATGTTCTGGGGAATACTTTGTCCGTAAATTGCCTGTTTGTTTTTTTAGATTGGTATCGATTGTCTCATCTAACTCTCCAGAAGAGAGCAAATCATTGCCATAAATCTACACTTGAATCTCTGGGAAAAGTGCAGAACAATAAGATCAAGTGTGGCTTCTTCTTCAATGTAGTGGTAGTTTTGGTGGTGGGGTTATTTTTACTTACCTAGTGACTTAAGAGCAAGTGTGGAGAAGAGGATGAGAAAAACAGGAACCAGATACTGGAGAGTGATCACAGTCAGGTAGCAAAAGATACGAGTGACCTGGAAAACAACACATGTATTCTTAGTTTCACATTCAGTTACTTTTCTTTCTCCATGTAAACACTTCTGAATTTAAAAGTTTCAACCCTTCATTGTCTGAATATCTGACCTTCCTCTGAATGTCAATCGCAGCGATACGCCCCGCCTCCTTCTTCATCTGCTCCACCCACTTCTGAGACAGATTGAGGTAGGCCTGCATGTGGTAGCGAGTCATTGCCAGCCGCAGCAGACACAGCACCACGATGATCCACAGGCGCAGGCTGTCGAAGGTTTCACTGGACACTCTGCAAGGGGAAGATTAGGAGAGGATCAGAAAAAGTCAAATGAGCCATATGGAGGACAACTTACATTAGTGTCCTTTGTTTTTATGAGAGATTAGTGGATATATAGCAGATATGCATGTGCCCTCACATTGTGACAGTGGTCTTCCCCAGAGGTGCATTGGCCAGGAAGTCCCTTGCAATGGGCTTCACCCAGAGAATCATCACAATGACTGGAGACAGGAAACTCATGTGCAGCAGAATCCTACAGGAAACATTATAGACATGTAAGAGAGCAACAACACAGCTAATGTATTTGATAAGACATGGAGTACATTGCTTGCTGCCATTCTTAATACGTCAGTTCTTACTGGATGTGTGGCCGCCCTGTGTTCATCTGAACAGCATCGAGATGAGTCTGAGCCATGCGCAGGCCGGGGAAGGCCAGCAGAGCACCGATGTACGCACAGAGAGCGGCCAGACCCAGCTTCACTGACAGCTTGGTCACTGGGATTCTGAAGACAACAACCAAACGTTAGGCATCAGATATTTGTCAAGTAAAGTCTGTTATTGCCTCATGCATAATAATACTTAAAGGTCACCTATTATGCAAAATCCACTTTTTCATGTCTTTTATACATAAACATGTGTCCCCTGAAAGTTTCACCACCATCAGTTTGGCCACTTTATGATGTCATAACTATTTTTTGGCTTGTGTAACCATTAGCCAATCACCAACCAAGGTAACCACCCCCCCCCCCCTTATCACCTGAATCTCCTCCTAGATGAAATGTAATGTAGAGCAGCATTGTGTTCTTTTTAACCAAATATCTCACAGAGGGGTGTGGGGAGTGGCTCCTTATTTTCATCTAAAGTAACAGACAGAGAATCAGCCCTTTTGAAACGGAGCTGAAACAGAGGGGATTATGGGATGCTACAATGATCTGATCTGTTTGGTATTTGGAGCCAAGCACTTCAGAGACATGTTTTGTAGATATCTGAGACCTATAATATATTGATGAAAAACAGTATATTAGGGGACCTTTAACCAATGTGGTGTCTCTTGATGCACGTTACAATGTCAAGAAATAATAAATAAACACAAATTCCTGGAACAGATACTTACGACCACTCAGCGTAGCCCTGCTGTCTGGCGAACACTTCCAAGTTGTCGAAGAGGCTGGAGAAGGCCGACTCCAGGCCGAACTCCAGGTAGTCCTCTCTGACTACCAGCACCAGCATGGCCACCAGCAGAGACAGGAAGCCGAAGGCCAGACACACCGAGCGCTCACCGCCCTCCTCAGAGCTGAAGTAGTGACTCATCAGAGTTTTAAGAGTCTTTCTGAAGGTTTGAGTTAAGTTTAAAACAACCAGAGGAAAAGTAGCCATGTACAATGCCATCTTATCTTTACATTTTTAATCAAATGTATTTTTCTTAGCATAAATCATGATGAAAAGTTGGAATTTTGCATATGTGTTTTGATACTTTACTAAGTCTGTTACATTTTCATATAAAAAGCGAGAGGCTGCAGCTGTAGAATGAGATATTTCCGTTTTATAGAGATGCAGTGATTACGATTTTCTTGGTCAGGTCAAACATTTCTTTTAAAGACCTGACGATGCACATGTTATTTCTTTCTAAAAACAATAAGTGAAAGCATATTTAAAAATGTTTATACTTTCTTTTCTGTCATGCACAATAAAAATGTAGGTGAATGTTCATAATAAAAACATTTAAAATTAAAAAAACTTACATCTTTTCAAAACTATATCAGTGCTTGTTGTTTATTTTTAGGGGTTGTACTCCTATGCTCATTTGGAATTTGCTGGTATTACAAATTGCAAGTGTTATGTCCTCTTTACTCATGCTGAAACACTTCTACAATAAGTGTGTGTGTGGTTATACTGTGTGTGAAACGTGCATGTTCTGTGTGCGGCGTAAAAAAACCCAAGCGACACAGCAAAGAAATAAATATGAGACTGATCGGCAAGCTACAGCAAATCAGCTGACAACGGCAGGCTTCTACAGCTGTGCAAAAGGTGCATTCTCTCCAATTTGTTGTAATAGCAAACCTTATTGATACATACATATGAATCTGTCATGATGAGTCACTTGAAGGATACAGACTGAAGAGAACAGTCAGGACACACCAGATGGCTCCGATGTTGACTTCTGTGCTGGCATCCACAGAACTGTAGTAACACTCAGTGAACATGAAGACGCCTGCTGTATAGACCGCAAAGTCTACCAGCCACTGGTACTCCAGGAAAAACCGCAGCACTGAAAGTAGAAACAAGGCAAAAAAAGATGTAGACCGAGTCATTATTTTGTGCTATACCAGTCGGTTTGAACTATGATCCATACATTTTATGATGCAGAGAGAAAAACATTGAAATACTGTAAATGCATAGCGAGTAAAAGCTGAGCTGTGGCAGCGTTTGTACTTGCTCAATGTCACGGTGATAAAGATAAAGGAGTGTTTAGTTTACCAAGAGCGTCAAGAGCGTTGATTGGAGCTTTCTCCAGGTGAAGGTCGATGTCTTTGGGCACAGTGAGAGGCTTGCTCTCCCCATTTTGTCTCCTAGTCATCAAACAAAGACACATGACATGTTAAAAAAATACAAACAGTCTTTTTTCAGTCTTAAAGTAAAACACGTGTTTGTTTTTTAAAGTAAAGCACACAAGTTACAACAAAAGGTAAAACTCTGGAGCTTTTGTCAGAGAAGGCAGATATCTACTTATTAGTTGTTTGTTTCTAGGCAGCTTTACTTGTTTGTTAGTCCTTCCTACATTACCAGACCCTCCCCCAACTCCCACCTGTCTTTCCTGGTCGGTTTGGGCATCTGCTTTCCGGCCAGGGCACACAGCTCTCCTTCTGACGGGTGTTTGAACCGGTACAGACTGAAAGGAACAACAGGCATGTGTTTGTATAGTGCACATCCAATGATATGTACTGTATAGTGTATAACCTGATCGTAAGGATAATTATACCTGCCATTGCAGAGTAGCCAGCGTGCAAAGGAGTAATGTGGAGCCATCCTCTGCATAATGCAGGCAGCCAGCAAGCTGACCACCAGCTGAATTCCCATCAGCGCCTGTCAGAGGAAACACACATGTTTAAGTAAGAGAGCCAACTTTCAAACTCCCATCTTTGGACATAGAAACAGTTCGAGTTAAAGCCTGTAGAAGAAGCTTAGTCACAGACCATATTTAACCACGTTTAACAACCGTAAAGAATGTGCTGAAAGCTCCTGCAAAATGAATGAAAGTTAGCAAATGGCTATCGAGCTAAATTTAGCTAAACTTCACCACCTGTCATTGCTGCTGCAAACGTTAGCTAGCTAGCATTAGCATACTAGCTCTCATTGTAAGAAATAGAAACAAAAACAGTTCGCTGGCTAATTTTACAGCAGGTTGTTAACACTAACTTGATCCTTGTGGATTTACTGGAATGGGGGTAACTTACCATCTCTTCTGTCGAAAGAAATACGTGTTGTAAATCAGAATAGCTGCCGAAGCTTCTTCACATGCAGGAAAGTCTTGACAGCTGATCCAACTGACATGTGAAAAGCTGAATGTCCCGGATGTAGTAGTGGAGTCGCGCGGTGCCTTCAGGTACTTCCCCATAGCTTCGTAAATCGGAAGACTTATAACAGCACAACAGTAGCTTCTACTGACGCTTAATCTATGCTGCTTCCTCTCAGAAATGGAAATTAAACTACTTTTTAATTACTTTTGTGCAACTGTGAGACTGTGTGCCAACCATTTAGTTGACTGTTGTGGTTATTAAGGACTTTTTCAAATTGAGTTATGCCTTATGCACATAGAGAATCAATGGAAAGATACAATATTTACCTAGAAGGACCTCCAATTGATTTCATGCTACGTTTCGAAGCTATTGCTAAAGTCAGTTGACTTGAAAATAATGTGCAATACTGCTTGTTTCACCCATAACAACAGGTTGCAGATAATGCTGCACATTTACTTTTCACCCCATTTCAATGGACGTTTCTGAACACAGATACACTCGGGATACGTAGGCCTATATATATTTTTAGGAAGAACCCATTATACATCTACATATTTATCATAGTATTGTATAACGAGTGATAATCAAATGTAAAGAATAGCCTCCATGGTCCATTTTACCTGTGCCAATTGTTCAGCCAGCCAATCAGAAGCAGAGGAGGGCGGGTCATCCAAAAAAAGAAAAATCACCTTTTAAGGTGGTTTAACCCGGAAGTAACTACTTTTGCCCTGTTTTCCATTGACGTGATTTCAAGGTGATGCAGGTCAAACAGGTGAGTGTTTCTCGTGTTACAAATGCCTACAAACATTTCTGCTTCATGTCAGGACATTGCTATGATAATTTGGGGACATTTTCAAACGTGATTATAACTCCCTACAAATGGGACATTAACTCAAATCTGATACTTTTCTTGAACTGGAATCACAAATAGGGAGAGGCCCCAGGGAAGTTAATACTGGCCTTGATACAATACAATGGATGACATGTACACAAGTGTAAGTTACGACTTGTTAGTCTTTGGTTTTCCACAATTCTGTGTATTTGTCATGTTGTTAGATGTCTAGCATACATTCAGGGCTGGATTTACCCACTAGGGGGCTTTTGGGAGTTGTAGGCCTCTAACCAATGAATAATTCAAATGGCCTGTTATGCTAATAGAGTTTACAGTATGAATTAAAACAAGTCATCTTATTGAATATTAAATAATGAATGCTACCTTTTCTCCCTGGTCTGAATGAATGTTAAAATGTCAAATAAAGTGTGATAGTCCTTTTCTGTATGTACATTTAATTAGCTTGTTTAATCTAGAACAACATTACTTATGTATTTAGGATCACTGTATACTAAAATCACCAAGGCAAAGTTCATTCACCAAATGAAAGTGTGTTTGATCCTCGCTGAAAAATGCAACCCTCTCAAAACTTAAAGTTCTTACAATTCAAATTCAGTTTGCACTGCATTGGAGTTTGTACACCAGATTACATACAAAAACAAGAACACATCTGGTAGTGTCCTTTGCTTAAATGTAATTGCATGATCTGAATGTGGTAGTATAAAATGTATCGGGAGTTGAGTTTTCAGCAAGGATCAAATACATTTTCAGAGCAAATGAATTCAATGTCATACTATAAACATTTAGGTTTTTTAATTAAGTTCCAAACTAATGAATATAATTTCAAATGCTGCCTTTTCAGGTTCAGTATTTATGCAATTATTCACATTGAGCAAGACAAATTCAAATATCATTCGTATACAAATTCAGTCTCTAGTGAGTTTTTCCTGCCTATAGATCACCTCTGTGAGATCCTCCTAATGATAATCTCCATGTTTGATGCTTGCACCATCATGCATCTTAACATTTCATTGGATGAAAACAAACAGTATGCAAATAGTGAAGCTTAAAGTCTCAGATATGCTTCTGTTACTCTCTGCTTTGGCATTAAACACACAGTCACCAGGGAGGGGGCGAGAGCAGGAGGGAGTTTATGTAATCTAAAGAATTAAAGTATTAATTTTCCATTTTGATGAATACAATTAAGGAAAAACCCCATAATACTAACATTGTTACTATCAAGCCTGCAGGCATGTTTATATCTTTGCAATGTGTTTGTTTTATTATGTCATATGACCTCTAAACCACAGATTATTATAACCATGAGGTGTTTAGGTAATATTGTGGTAAAAGGACAACAGCTCTTGGTGCACTGATGCATCCTCTGTGGTATGCTTGGTGACTCTGGATGAGAATGATTGTCTACACACACACACGCTGGCCTGTACATGCATTATAATGTCAGCTCATCCTCTGTAAAGCGGAGGCCCCTGTGCCTCAAACAGTGCGGAGGGTTTCCAGTCGCACGCCCTCCTAAAGATCTTTTACCAAACCCATTCACCACATTCAAATCTGTGTTTAGCATGTGCGTTCATGTTATTTGGGTGGTCTGCAGAAGTTGATTGAAATCCCACTTTCTGCTAATTGGTGCCACCCCTTCTGCTGAAGATGTGTCTGATCCTTTGCCGCGTGAATTTGTGCAAAAGAGCATGACGTTTCAATGAGAGCTGTGAATTTGATCAAATGGAGCTTTGTGCGATGAAGCAACAGCATCTCAGGTGGGCAGGCATGCACCAACGGGCAGGCATCTGTAAACATAAATCACATGAAATTAGTTGTTCAGCTCAATATCAAACTCTGTGTTGTGTTTTGATCCTTATGAGTCTTGCTTATCCAAATCCAGCCTATACCCTGAGGCAATTAGTCTGTGCCATTTTGAACAAGAGGAAATGGAGCGATCACATTTTAATTAGGATCACATTTTTGCATATTAAATCAAAAAGTGGCTTCTTTCTCCATCTCTTGCTGTTGCTGAAGATGAAATGTATGATGTGACCAACCAGAGCATTTGAGATTATTATGACGTCTTTCCATATGGATACTAGTGTAACATAAAGATGCATGTTGTTCCATTCACTGCCATAACATCGTTTAACATGTACCCTTTTTCTTATCAACATTTGACAGCAGGAAAAATGCATGAAAACACGATAAATATTCTGTACATTCTTCCAACATCTCTGGCATTAAACTGTCAGTCACACTGTGAGAGGAAATGTCTCTCTCTGGGTGGAAAAAGACTTCCTTAATCATCATCTTTGACACAAATGCTAATCCTTCTTCCATGTTAGCCATCTGTGGCTGAAGTGGCGGGGCAGAAATTACTGAGGAAAATGGACACAAATAAAATGCTAATTCACCACGGGCTACAAGTGGCTCCCCCCCTCTCTGCCCAGCTCGGGGGGCCTCTCGGTTCCCACACCACTTCCCTGTGTCTCTCCCAGGGTGCTGCTGGGATACCGTCGGCTGTTTCGGAGCCCGCAGTAGGGATGCAGCCCTCCCATTGGCTTGTCTTTGTTTGCCCCCATGCACGGTATTCATCTGCTGATTTGAATATATGCAAATGTTGCAATGGTGCCCCGTCAAAGGAAACTCCCACAGCCACCACCATGTTTTTTTTCTCACTTACCGTCTCCCTTCATTTTCCCCGCTCTTTTCCTTTTTGTTTCTTTTCCTAAATGCTACATTGAGCGGGGAATGCTGTGGGAACCAACGATGGAGGGCCAGATCTGCTTTGTCACAGGGATTTATTTAGTAGTGAGTCTCATGACTGTTAATTACAAAGACACACATTTACTGTATATCTCAAGGAAGAGAGAAAACAAGTGTATTGGGAATACACCATCCTTCAACTCCTTAATGTCTTTGCTGTGAACAGTCAAAGCAAAGATGTTGCCTGACTAATACATGCCTTTCAATCAAACATGCAGCATGTGTCATGAGGCAAGCAAATACATCACATGACTTATTGATTACAGTCAAAATAAGAACCTTTTATATAGCGTATTGGTTTTAATTTGGAGTCTGACTTTGTACTCTAAGACAAGGGCAAGAACCACAGTGTAGACATTGTTCTATTACGTTAAGACAAAATGAGATGTAGCTTAGTTTCACAGCTTTATTTTAAAAGCAGATATTTAGACTACTGGCCCTAACGATGACTTCTTTCATTATGTACAATAGGACTCTTCCTCCAAAGCAACCAAATGGATTGAGCCAGCATTTATTTAGTTAATTATGTGACATTTCACATTGTTTCCAGTGAGAAAGGCCTAATTTATCCCACAGCAAGAATATTTAAACTTGGAGTTATTCACCTGTAGTTTGAGAGTTAAAAAGCCATCTTTTGTTGTGTCACAGACCTTCCTCCTCCTGTAATGGCCCAAGATTAAACCAGGGCTATGGATTTTAAAAGATACACAGAAATGAAGATATGCATACAAGCTTCATATCTGCATTTTGACTCACTGCATCTGGCTCGTCTGTTTTCCAGGTCCAGAGCCAGACGGAAGAGAATTAGCTCGGCCTGACTCTGCTGAGTGTGTTAAGCCGGTACTTTGGCTCGTCCTCACACAGATTCTGGATTTGGACGACATGAATCGTTGCACACTTATACTGTAATTACCCTAATGCATGCTGCTAATTCTATTTCACTGAGAGTTTGCAGCATAGAGGATTCCATGGATGATCCAGCATGCACAGATGGGCGATGCTCACACAAAGACAAACACAAGTGTCATTTTGTGCTTAAAGAATTACAATAGGCTTTATTTGTATACAATGTTCTTCTTATCTGTGCCAGTGAAAATATGTGCACACATGCTTATTGATACTTAATAAATGCAATATTAGACATCTTTCTATTATCTTAAAAATCTCCAACACTTCCTTTTTTTATGATATCCCCTACTTTTTGATAGATGCATATGAATATTATTTGAATGTATTTATATTTCATGTAAATAAATGTAAGAATGGCTTGGACTCTCCTCATCATCTTCATGCTTCATGAGAAAAAGAAGCTCCTTGTGTTTTCCCAACCCAGAGTAACACTGCATGCCTAGGAAAATATAACAGAAAGTACCAAAGTGTCAATATTAAAAAAAACGAGTAAGACAATTTCATCATTCCCACAGGAACAAGCATTTTCACAACATTTTGATTAAAGTTAA